GATCGCCTTTAGATGACGTAACCATCTCAGTGTCACTACAATTATCGTCCTTGTCATACATGATCTCACCATATGCTACATTCGAGTACACGATCGTGAGCCACCCGTCTCAGCTAGTATTCTTTCAATAAGAATCCTTTTCATGCTTGACTGACGCCTGTGGTGTGTGGTCTCCCACGCCCCAACTCGACGGTAAAATCTTGTGATTGCTCTAACATAAATGCGGGCATTATACACGCATTTCAATGCTCTTGTGGTGCACCTCTAATACACAGCTTCACCATATTCATTCTAAAAAGCTTAGTGCGCTATATGGACGTCAGGCAATTACCCTCCACGCTTTGTCCCCTTGCTAATATACTTGCTCCGTAAAGTTTACGCCGAAACCTGCCTTACATATAATGGTGTCGATCTCTTATAAACGTATCGCGTATGTCTTAATGCTTCATTATGATTTGCATGTCCTGCTCTTGTTTGTTAAAAATGATCGCAATTTCGCATTTTAATTTTGGGAGCATTTATAAGCGTATATAATGTCGGTGGTGTGCGCTATAGATGTCACTAGTGTTCTTCGTATACAATTCCTCGTCTTATTGATATTCATTCAAACAAAGCCTGATATCGTCGACAGCATCTTTACAAGGGTCATCCGTCGGACGTGACCATGTATTCTAGAAAGGCTACGTTGATGTTTACGATGCACGCGCATTTGAGTAGACATCTTAAGCAGAAAATACACTATATGTCCCAATAATCTTAGTTAATCTATGTAAAGGTACCTAAATGAGGCTGAATGATGATGGACTCACAAACATTCGTGTTTGAAGTTTGGGACATACCTCCACTTTGATATAGTTAACGATGGCAAATATCATAATTTGCATTGTTCGTCTTGACTGTATTGCATACACGATCTTTTATCCCCTATTTATTACATACTTGCATATTTACTTACACTCTATTTGTAGTGAGTGCTATTCATTTATCATGTGCATTTGCTTATACTGTCATTAGCATGAGTGCGATGCATATAGTAACACCTAACATCAGAGCCTACAAAAAAGCTGTGAACACACCCGCCGTGACATCATCAAATGTATGTATTTTCCGCTTCAAACTTTTGCATTATTGAAACAAATCGAAGGGTTGGAGGGGTTTTAATGGCTTAGAATGTAGGTTAGAGCATTATCAGATGTAACTCGTGTATTTTTCGATAACAAATAGCGCCAACCATCCTTAATTGACACAATATGAACGTGACTGTAAGCAAATTAGATTTGATCAGCATGTGGGACGCGCATCAGTTACAGGAGCTGAAGCAAAACGGCGCCTCGATCGATACATTCTAAAGAATTATACATATCAACATTCGACGATGATCATTAAGCTGCAGTTAAGTTCTGATGTGTCTGTACCTTCACCTTGACCCAACATCCAAATCGTTAATTATTGCACCTTTCAGAGCGTGTGGTTGATACTCTATTAAAACAGGCTTTTGATCTCGATAATGTCATCTAATGCAGTTGTAATTGTATAATTAGATGAGAGCAACCTCGTCGTTGATATCAATTGGCAGGTGCATACACAGCTAATTTTAAAGGAGATAATGATATTTATGGTTATAGATCGTACGAGGTCTTTCAAATATGGCCCCTGTCCATAATGTTTGGCAGCTGTGCGACGTTTTCGAATCTTGATTGTAGATCCAAGATTACGAAAGGGTAAGACTGGTATTCATTATTACGCCCACTACGCTCGGTACATCGCGCATCGTATCGTGGCAAATTCGATCGATAATCACACGTTGATCGTATTGATCATCGAGCGTCTTGCATATTTTCATTGACTTTCGTACGTTACAATTGACAATGATCCAGATTATTCTATCGATCCTTCACATTACACTGAGCTCTCAATACTTCCTGCTGCTAAAACTAGCGGTGAAGTTTAAGACGGTCTTAGATATCATTGCAAGTAAGTATGTACTTGTTCTATCCAAGGTGCTGTGGTAAGCTTGAATAGATTATTTTTCGCTATACCCAGTCGCTACTATTATAACAATACAGTGATTCGAAAGTCGAACTTCTTAGACAGGAACGGTGTTGTTTCTTGCCGATGGCAAATATGCTAATAAAGGGAAAATTAGGGTGAAAGCTACACAGTAAAACACAGAGAACCTGGGGCTTTCTCCATCTACTTCACTATAACAACAATCAGGCGTCGTTTTGAATTCAGAAAAATTCGTTTGTACCAGGCGTAATTAGCTACAAGCTTTTTCTGAAGCAATGGCTCGGCTTGTTCCTCAAAAGTCTTATCCATGAACGTGTAGAAGCTTCCACATACTTACATGTATTATACGAGCATACCAAATGATAATCTTCACCTACGTGCTGTATGCACGACTGGCATAACCTAAGTGCACAGTGTAGATAATTACTGCACGGCTAAATTATGATGTCTGTTCAAGATCCAGGAGAGCCCAAGAGATAGGTCATCCATTAAGTCAGTTTACGTATCAAAATGCCAGTTCTTCCATTGTAATTTTATACTTGTAAAAGAATCAGCTTGCTCAAATTTTAAAATACAATATTCTAGCTGAGACCAAAGCATTTACTGCAGAGGACCTCGTTAACTTACTGCTTCAACGGAAAACGTAGATGGTATATTTTATTTTCCGAAGTTGATATAACGAGGTTATTCATTTCAAAAGTTTGGGAGATTCTCGAATCATTTATGACGTTGAACGTATGCGTATAAGATAGTTAAACAATATTAGTACATTGCTTGACCTACCTGCGCTTTCCTCCTCATTCATAGCACTTAAATTTCAGTTGTTCTCGCAAGATTTGAATAATGGCAAGTCTAAACGCCATATACACAGTTATGGCGGAGGATGCGTATCGTATCTTATCCTTATTCGATCAGAATTCGTGATTCTGAAGTCAAAACGATCCTTTACATCTACCTATGTGCAAGATGTGGTGGGACGCATTACATTAAGATAAACACGTCTTGGCCACAAAATTATATAACTTCGAGCCCCTACCATTTATACCAGGGTAAACATGGTCTCATTTACGTCACATAACTATTATGAAATATAATATGCAATAATATTATTGATGTGAAACACATTTAAAACCAAGATAAAACATTTTTGACTAAAAGGTGCGGCCATTACCTCTTGTGAAAGTTTAAGATAAAGCACGATCTACCGACCGCTAAACAACAATCCACGCACGATGTTTAGCCTACAAAATAGCATTGCGTCACTTTAATTGCGCAAGACTAAGTGCAACGGCAGGTATCGAACGCCCTCGCTAGATCGCATGCTGCAACAATACCGTTATAGTAAAAGGAACCTGGACGAATACATGCCATAAATTGATGCCTTTGTTGCACCATCTATTCGGTTAAGGTTCTAACTGACACATGTTTTGTAAATCCATAGTTATTTAGAGGTTGAAACATTATCGTGCAACATTTAATCGGGGCATCTCGTCTGTTGGTAGTAGACCCATTCAATATTTTGAAACTACGTAGCTTATACAACAGTCTTATTCGTATTCCAAATACGGACGGTGATTGATGCGGCGATGGACATAAAAATGGCTTGATAAAAAAAGTACATATACTCCAAAATTACTACTTTGTAGTAAGCTTAAGAATTTTCTTGTTCCCGTCGTCGTTTGTCATATCAAGCTTTTTCTATCATATACAACTAGTGTACAGGCTGAGTGTGTATTAACACTTTCACTTAGCTTTAAAGAAGTAGAGCGAAACTATACTCATAACACATTCTAGGTAAACAATTACTATCGATACTGGAGACTTGTCAACAATAGCAAAGTCGTCAAGAAGACTCCTGTCGAGGAGATAAGCAAAGCATGGCGACTCGAGATGATCTCAAGCAATGTTTTGCCTTGTAGCAAGTCAATCGAAGCAAGCGTCAGCTGAGTCTACTGCATCAAGATGTCCTAGTCATGCAAAAGGCGCTTTCAGATAGTCGTGAGACGTTGCGTGGGGGTGCGTCGCCTGACAACGCGGCCTTGACGATCTTTTGTGCCGATGCGAGTGCTCGAAGCAAGCCTCCTCACTGTGACGTGCAAGCTACTTGTGAGGCTACATGTGAGGCTATTTGGGGACTTTGAGTGCCTTGCCAGTCACATGTGGCTGGCACTGGCTTACCAAGAGAATGACAATCGGTGGCGAGGGACGCCAGAGTAATTAGTACCTCAATACCGTATGGCATTGTAAGACCTGTGTATAGAGGTAATTCAAAAGGGGCATGGATAGCTTTCCACTGACTTCAGTGCGCAGCTAGCTGTGACTGAAAACAGTGTGAGCAAAGGTCCTCCTAGGTAAAGTTTACGGTACGCTAGAAGAAGGCTTAAGACCAAGCGGCTACGCTTAGTCGTGGAAAACTAGAAATGTATAAATACAGTACGTTTCTAAAGATGTCTTGCCTTCTTCGTTCAATTAAAATATATTAATACTACAACATGTATCGTGATGTCCACTTATTACCCATTGCGCGCGTCTAGCAGCGATTGGTAAGTTCATATAATGGCCATCTTCAACTAATGGGTAGACCCTTTGAGTCATTGCAAGAATATCACTACTATCGATCGTATTGTAATGAGCATATTAGCCTTAAAAGCCTCTATTGTCATTATCATTCTAGCTGATAATATCATGTAACAGGCTCACATCGTTACAAGATGAGGCGTCAAAAGTGGACCGATCGACGGACCGATCTCTGCTCAAGACCAGTGGTTGACCATGGAAGAGAGCTCAAGGCGAAATTTTGGTGTCTTTACGGGAGTTAATGTAGCAATGAACGGATTACACAAGTGCTAAAAAAGACTTATATGAATGTCGAGAACACGCGTCCAGTTCAACTACGACCTCAATCCCTGCGCAGCACGAGCCCGTTCGTCTTATTGCATTTGCCAGTAAGCAGTCGATCTTCTTCACTGATATGGGAACACGACAGGCCTTTACCAATCGATAGGGTTCAGCGAAAACCCGCTCTTGCTATCGTTTTTCGAGTCGCTCGAGTCGCTCGAGTCGCTGGCTTCCGAGCTGCCGCTGCCGCTGGCGCTATCGCTAGCACTGGCGCTGCCGCTATCGCTTTCTTCCTCTTCGTGATGATGCTTTTTCTTCGACTTCTTCTTCTTCTTACCAAACAATCCGAAAAACGATCTCGCTTCATCGTCCGAATTGAAGTCGAGCAGCTGGCGCAACTGGCGATCATGACCGTCACCTTTTTGTAGCGCTATTGACGCATGGTCCCCCGTCGAGGTCACCGCAAGCGGCTCAAAGTTGTCGTCGCTTGTCAGGAATCGGTTGGTTTTGCCGTCGACAACCCCGGGCTGGTTTTCGGCCTCGGTAGTCGTCCGCAACGATGACAGCGTGGTCGAGTCACGGACAGCTTGATGGCCATGAGTACTTGCAATCAGCGCAGCAGCTGCCACGAGTGCCACGTAGTGGATGCGCATTCTTGACCGACGAGCACTGGACGTTCTTGATCAACTGGAGCACTGCTGTTCTCGGTGAGCAGCTAATTCGGTTGTGAGAGACCGAACAGCAGAGCTCGTTGGCCAAGTGGTTCGGACGAGGCCACGAGGGGACGTGTGCCGATCACTTGAGCCCTTAACAAACGCGTTTTTGTTCGATCGTGATGAAGAGGCGGTCGAGCGAACGAGCGAACTTCAAGAGAGACAAGTCAACAGATGACATTATGTCTCGTTCTCGTCGTCAATCGTACGATGTCGTCGACGCTCAATCGACTTCCCCGCCTCACGTTCAATCACCGCTGCACTGCAGAAAGGATGCAGCACATGCGGAGATGTGTCCACCCAACAGCAGGAAAAGACGAACGGATGCTTTTCAGCTCAATGGATTCGCATCGCGGGACAGACCTGTCGCTCGGGGATTCCGTCGGTCTGGCTTCCAGCCGTAATCATGGTGCTCTTTTGTCGTCGCTCCCAGAGCACGTGACGACCAAAAAAGAAGCAACTAGCGGCTCGACCGGAAAGCGAACAACAAGACGAGTCGGTTGTGTTGTGGCTGGCGGTGGTGAGGTGAGGTGAGGTGAGGTGTGCATTGGGATACTTCGAGAGATCGTTGATGGCCTGTGACTCGATTGAGGAGCAGACAGAACTCGGAAAAAACAGGAGGCCGCATGAGGGTCTCCACTTAGCCGTTAACGATCGAACGCATCACGCGTAGATGTCGCAACGACCGCTGGTGGAAGGGAAGTAGTTGTACCACGCGGTTGAGTACGCACGTTCTCGGTTGACAATACTATCGATACTGGAGACTTGTCAACAATAGCAAAGTCGTCAAGAAGACTTCTGTCGAGGAGATAAGCAAAGCATGGCGACTCGAGATGATCTCAAGCAATGTTTTGCCTTGTAGCAAGTCAATCGAGGCAAGCGTCAGCTGAGTCTACTGCATCAAGATGTCCTAGTCATGCAAAAGGCGCTTTCAGATAGTCGTGAGACGTTGCGTGAGGGTGCGTCGCCTGACAACGCGGCCTTGACGATCTTTTGTGCCGATGCGAGTGCTCGAAGCAAGCCTCCTCACTGTGACGTGCAAGCTACTTGTGAGGCTACATGTGAGGCTGCTTGGAGACTTAGAGTGCCTTGCCAGTCACATGTGGCTGGCACTGGCTTACCAAGAGAATGAAAAATGGTGGCGAGGGACACCAGAGTTGTTCGTTTATCGACACCGATATAACATTGTAAAACCAGCAGATCGAGGAGATAAGTCATCACAAGAGAGGGCGATCGACGGACCGATCCCTGCTCGAGGCCCAGTTACTGACCATCAGGCAGAGCTCGAGGCGAAACTTTGGTGTCTTTACGGGAGCCAATTGAGCAATGAACGGATTACACAAGTGCTGATATGAAAATTATGTGAATGTCGAGAACACGCGACCAATTCAGCTGCGACCTCAATCCCTGCGCAGCACAAGCCCCTCGTCGTTTTCCTTCGCCCGTGGACAGTCGATCACCCCAACTGATGTGCGAACACGAAGGGCCACTACCATTTGAAAGGGTTCAGCGAAAACTTTTTTTTGCGACCGTTTTTCGACTCGCTCGAGTCGCTCGAGTCGCCATTCTTGTGCTTTCGATGTCTACGTTTCTTGTGCTTCTTCTTCCCAAAAAACGATCTCGCTTCATCGTCCGAATTGAAGTCGAGCAGCTGGCGCAACTGGCGATCATGACCGTCACCTTTTTGTAGCGCTATTGACGCATGGTCCCCCGTCGAGGTCACCGCAAGCGGCTCAAAGTTGTCGTCGCTTGTCAGGAATCGGTTGGTTTTGCCGTCGACAGCCCCAGGCTGGTTTTCGGCCTCGGTAGTCGTCCGCAACGATGACAGCGTGGTCGAGTCACGGACAGCTTGATGGCCATGAGTACTTGCAATCAGCGCAGCAGCTGCCACGAGTGCCACGTAGTGGATGCGCATTCTTGACCGACGAGCACTGGACGTTCTTGATCAACTGGAGCACTGCTGTTCTCGGTGAGCAGCTAATTCGGTTGTGAGAGACCGAACAGCAGAGCTCGTTGGCCAAGTGGTTCGGACGAGGCCACGAGGGGACGTGTGCCGATCACTTGAGCCCTTAACAAACGCGTTTTTGTTCGATCGTGATGAAGAGGCGGTCGAGCGAACGAGCGAACGAGCGAATTTCAAGAGAGACAAGTCAACAGATGACATTATGTCTCGTTCTCGTCGTCAATCGCACGATGTCGTCGACGCTCAATCGACTTCCCCGCCTCACGTTCAATCACCGCTGCACTGCAGAAAGGATGCAGCACATGCGGAGATGTGTCCACCCAACAGCAGGAAAAGACGAACGGATGCTTTTCAGCTCAATGGATTCGCATCGCGGGACAGACCTGTCGCTCGGGGATTCCGTCGGTCTGGCTTCCAGCCGTAATCATGGTGCTCTTTTGTCGTCGCTCCCAGAGCACGTGACGACCAAAAAAGAAGCAACTAGCGGCTCGACCGGAAAGCGAACAACAAGACGAGTCGGTTGTGTTGTGGCTGGCGGTGGTGAGGTGAGGTGAGGTGAGGTGTGCATTGGGATACTTCGAGAGATCGTTGATGGCCTGTGACTCGATTGAGGAGCAGACAGAACTCGGAAAAAACAGGAGGCCGCATGAGGGTCTCCACTTAGCCGTTAACGATCGAACGCATCACGCGTAGATGTCGCAACGACCGCTGGTGGAAGGGAAGTAGTTGTACCACGCGGTTGAGTACGCACGTTCTCGGTTGACAATACTATCGATACTGGAGACTTGTCAACAATAGCAAAGTCGTCAAGAAGACTTCTGTCGAGGAGATAAGCAAAGCATGGCGACTCGAGATGATCTCAAGCAATGTTTTGCCTTGTAGCAAGTCAATCGAGGCAAGCGTCAGCTGAGTCTACTGCATCAAGATGTCCTAGTCATGCAAAAGGCGCTTTCAGATAGTCGTGAGACGTTGCGTGAGGGTGCGTCGCCTGACAACGCGGCCTTGACGATCTTTTGTGCCGATGCGAGTGCTCGAAGCAAGCCTCCTCACTGTGACGTGCAAGCTACTTGTGAGGCTACATGTGAGGCTGCTTGGAGACTTAGAGTGCCTTGCCAGTCACATGTGGCTGGCACTGGCTTACCAAGAGAATGAAAAATGGTGGCGAGGGACACCAGAGTTGTTCGTTTATCGACACCGATATAACATTGTAAAACCAGCAGATCGAGGAGATAAGTCATCACAAGAGAGGGCGATCGACGGACCGATCCCTGCTCGAGGCCCAGTTACTGACCATCAGGCAGAGCTCGAGGCGAAACTTTGGTGTCTTTACGGGAGCCAATTGAGCAATGAACGGATTACACAAGTGCTGATATGAAAATTATGTGAATGTCGAGAACACGCGACCAATTCAGCTGCGACCTCAATCCCTGCGCAGCACAAGCCCCTCGTCGTTTTCCTTCGCCCGTGGACAGTCGATCACCCCAACTGATGTGCGAACACGAAGGGCCACTACCATTTGAAAGGGTTCAGCGAAAACTTTTTTTTGCGACCGTTTTTCGACTCGCTCGAGTCGCTCGAGTCGCCATTCTTGTGCTTTCGATGTCTACGTTTCTTGTGCTTCTTCTTCCCAAAAAACGATCTCGCTTCATCGTCCGAATTGAAGTCGAGCAGCTGGCGCAACTGGCGATCATGACCGTCACCTTTTTGTAGCGCTATTGACGCATGGTCCCCCGTCGAGGTCACCGCAAGCGGCTCAAAGTTGTCGTCGCTTGTCAGGAATCGGTTGGTTTTGCCGTCGACAGCCCCAGGCTGGTTTTCGGCCTCGGTAGTCGTCCGCAACGATGACAGCGTGGTCGAGTCACGGACAGCTTGATGGCCATGAGTACTTGCAATCAGCGCAGCAGCTGCCACGAGTGCCACGTAGTGGATGCGCATTCTTGACCGACGAGCACTGGACGTTCTTGATCAACTGGAGCACTGCTGTTCTCGGTGAGCAGCTAATTCGGTTGTGAGAGACCGAACAGCAGAGCTCGTTGGCCAAGTGGTTCGGACGAGGCCACGAGGGGACGTGTGCCGATCACTTGAGCCCTTAACAAACGCGTTTTTGTTCGATCGTGATGAAGAGGCGGTCGAGCGAACGAGCGAACGAGCGAATTTCAAGAGAGACAAGTCAACAGATGACATCATGTCTCGTTCTCGTCGTCAATCGCACGATGTCGTCGACGCTCAATCGACTTCCCCGCCTCACGTTCAATCACCGCTGCACTGCAGAAAGGATGCAGCACATGCGGAGATGTGTCCACCCAACAGCAGGAAAAGACGAACGGATGCTTTTCAGCTCAATGGATTCGCATCGCGGGACAGACCTGTCGCGCGCGCTCATTCCCAAATTTTCACGGTTCAGCTCAAGCCAGTCTTTTTCCCTTCGGGGCAGTCACGTCGGAGGGAATCCTCCCCTTGGGGAGCCGACGTGGTCGAAGATTTGACGCGGGCACGCTGCACTCGCAGTCGCGGGTGTGGGCGTAGGAGACCGACGGGTCGCGCAAGCGGCCCTAGCAGGGGTGTTTTACGGACTGGAGGCGTACCCCGCGCCACGTGTCGCCGCTGCGGCGAGCGCACACTCCACGTCAAGGGGCCGCGCAAGCGGCTGAAGGGGGCCACCATCGCAGATGGTTGAGCTCCTCGGAGAGATAGACGGCGGGTTGGCGTTCTCCACGCCACGCAGTCACTTCGGTGATCGCACTCCACGTCGGGGGCCGCGCAAGCGGCTGAAGGGGGCCACCATCGCAGATGGTTGAGCTCCTCGGAGAGATAGACGGCGGGTTGGCGTTCTCCACGCCACGCAGTCACTTCGGTGATCGCACTCCACGTCGGGGGCCGCGCAAGCGGCTGAAGGGAGCCACCATCGCAGATGGTTGAGCTCCTCGGAGAGATATATGGCGGGTTGGCGTTCTCCACGCCACGCAGTCACTTCGGTGATCGCACTCCACGTCGGGGGCCGCGCAAGCGGCTGAAGGGAGCCACCATCGCAGATGGTTGAGCTCCTCGGAGAGATATATGGCGGGGTGGCGTTCTCCACGCCACGCAGTCACTTCGGTGATCGCACTCCACGTCGGGGGCCGCGCAAGCGGCTGAAGGGAGCCACCATCGCAGATGGTTGAGCTCCTCGGAGAGATATATGGCGGGGTGGCGTTCTCCACGCCACGCAGTCACTTCGGTGATCGCACTCCACGTCGGGGGCCGCGCAAGCGGCTGAAGGGAGCCACCATCGCAGATGGTTGAGCTCCTCGGAGAGATATATGGCGGGGTGGCGTTCTCCACGCCACGCAGTCACTTCGGTGATCGCACTCCACGTCGGGGGCCGCGCAAGCGGCTGAAGGGAGCCACCATCGCAGATGGTTGAGCTCCTCGGAGAGATATATGGCGGGTTGGCGTTCTCCACGCCACGCAGTCACTTCGGTGTTCGCACTCCACGTCGGGGGCCGCGCAAGCGGTCCTAAAGGGGTTTGTTGCCTTATATGGCAGCATACCCGCGTTGTACGTGCTGCCGCTCCGGCGGTACGCATGTCCCCAGTCTACTTGGTCGCGCCAGCGGTCATAATTGACTCGTAGTTGGCTTCGGTAGGAGGGTCTCTGACCTCGTTGCCGTCGCCCCTGGCTCTACGGAGCCCTTTAGTTGTCGACCCGATACCCGGGCCGTACTTCTTGTCACACTTATCAGTCGTTAGTTATCATAATAATGGACGTACTTGACACCACCACCAATCACCGCTGCACTGCAGAAAGGATGCAGCACATGCGAGATGTGTCCACCCAACAGCAGGAAAAGACGAACGGATGCTTTTCAGCTCAATGGATTCGCATCGCGGGACAGACCTGTCGCTCGGGGATTCCGTCGGTCTGGCTTCCAGCCGTAATCATGGTGCTCTTTTGTCGTCGCTCCCAGGGCACGTGACGACCAAAAAAGAAGCAACTAGCGGCTCGACCGGAAAGCGAACAACAAGACGAGTCGGTTGTGTTGTGGCTGGGGTGGTGAGGTGAGGTGAGGTGAGGTGTGCATTGGGATACTTCGAGAGATCGTTGATGGCCTGTGACTCGATTGAGGAGCAGACAGAACTCGGAAAAAACAGGAGGCCGCATGAGGGTCTCCACTTAGCCGTTAACGATCGAACGCATCACGCGTAGATGTCGCAACGACCGCTGGTGGAAGGGAAGTAGTTGTACCACGCGGTTGAGTACGCACGTTCTCGGTTGACAATACTATCGATACTGGAGACTTGTCAACAATAGCAAAGTCGTCAAGAAGACTTCTGTCGAGGAGATAAGCAAAGCATGGCGACTCGAGATGATCTCAAGCAATGTTTTGCCTTGTAGCAAGTCAATCGAGGCAAGCGTCAGCTGAGTCTACTGCATCAAGATGTCCTAGTCATGCAAAAGGCGCTTTCAGATAGTCGTGAGACGTTGCGTGAGGGTGCGTCGCCTGACAACGCGGCCTTGACGATCTTTTGTGCCGATGCGAGTGCTCGAAGCAAGCCTCCTCACTGTGACGTGCAAGCTACTTGTGAGGCTACATGTGAGGCTGCTTGGAGACTTAGAGTGCCTTGCCAGTCACATGTGGCTGGCACTGGCTTACCAAGAGAATGAAAAATGGTGGCGAGGGACACCAGAGTTGTTCGTTTATCGACACCGATATAACATTGTAAAACCAGCAGATCGAGGAGATAAGTCATCACAAGAGAGGGCGATCGACGGACCGATCCCTGCTCGAGGCCCAGTTACTGACCATCAGGCAGAGCTCGAGGCGAAACTTTGGTGTCTTTACGGGAGCCAATTGAGCAATGAACGGATTACACAAGTGCTGATATGAAAATTATGTGAATGTCGAGAACACGCGACCAATTCAGCTGCGACCTCAATCCCTGCGCAGCACAAGCCCCTCGTCGTTTTCCTTCGCCCGTGGACAGTCGATCACCCCAACTGATGTGCGAACACGAAGGGCCACTACCATTTGAAAGGGTTCAGCGAAAACTTTTTTTTGCGACCGTTTTTCGACTCGCTCGAGTCGCTCGAGTCGCCATTCTTGTGCTTTCGATGTCTACGTTTCTTGTGCTTCTTCTTCCCAAAAAACGATCTCGCTTCATCGTCCGAATTGAAGTCGAGCAGCTGGCGCAACTGGCGATCATGACCGTCACCTTTTTGTAGCGCTATTGACGCATGGTCCCCCGTCGAGGTCACCGCAAGCGGCTCAAAGTTGTCGTCGCTTGTCAGGAATCGGTTGGTTTTGCCGTCGACAGCCCCAGGCTGGTTTTCGGCCTCGGTAGTCGTCCGCAACGATGACAGCGTGGTCGAGTCACGGACAGCTTGATGGCCATGAGTACTTGCAATCAGCGCAGCAGCTGCCACGAGTGCCACGTAGTGGATGCGCATTCTTGACCGACGAGCACTGGACGTTCTTGATCAACTGGAGCACTGCTGTTCTCGGTGAGCAGCTAATTCGGTTGTGAGAGACCGAACAGCAGAGCTCGTTGGCCAAGTGGTTCGGACGAGGCCACGAGGGGACGTGTGCCGATCACTTGAGCCCTTAACAAACGCGTTTTTGTTCGATCGTGATGAAGAGGCGGTCGAGCGAACGAGCGAACGAGCGAATTTCAAGAGAGACAAGTCAACAGATGACATCATGTCTCGTTCTCGTCGTCAATCGCACGATGTCGTCGACGCTCAATCGACTTCCCCGCCTCACGTTCACACCCTCTGAGAAAGGATGCACACGCGCGGGGGGGTTCCCCCACACAGGAAAGAAGGACGGGTTTTCTTCGCGGGGGGGCCCGGCCCCTTCGCTTTTTTCCCCGGGGGGGGCGGCGGGGGGGGGGCCCCCCCGGGGGGCGCGGTGGGCGGGGGGTGGGGCGGGGGCGCGGCCCCCGCGGGGGCGGGGGGGGGGGGGGGGGGGGGGCGGGGGCGCGGCGGGCGGCCCCGGGGGGGGCGTGCCCGGGGGGGGGCCCCCCCCCCCCCCGCCGGCGCCCGCGGGGGGGCCGGGGCGGGGGCGGGGGGGGGGGGGGGGGGGGGGGCCCCCGGGGGGGGCCGGGGGGGCGGGGCGGGGGGGGGGGGGGGGGGGGGGGGGGGCAATCACCGCTGCACTGCAGAAAGGATGCAGCACATGCGGAGATGTGTCCACCCAACAGCAGGAAAAGACGAACGGGTGCTTTTCAGCTCAATGGATTCGCATCGCGGGACAGACCTGTCGCTCGGGGATTCCGTCGGTCTGGCTTCCAGCCGTAATCATGGTGCTCTTTTGTCGTCGCTCCCAGGGCACGTGACGACCAAAAAAGAAGCAACTAGCGGCTCGACCGGAAAGCGAACAACAAGACGAGTCGGTCGTGTTGTGGCTGGTGGTAGTGAGGTGAGGTGTGCATTGGGATACTTCGAGAGATCGTTGATGGCCTGTGACTCGATTGAGGAGCAGACAGAACTCGGAAAAAACAGGAGGCCGCATGAGGGCCTTTTCCAGCGCTAAACCTGCCGTCTGCTTGACATATCGTGGTGTCGTATATTCATGCGATGTGGCGCGGACGCCTTTTGCTTGTGGTCCCACGGCCGGGCACGCACTAATTGATCCGCTGTCAATTGTTGGGCACGCTATGGAAAAGAGCAAGTGACGATGGACGAGACGTCTACGCGACGCTTTCCCATCGCTCGGCAACTGTCCTGTCGACACGAACAGTGGGACGGCCGAGTGGGTTGTACGGATCTGTTGCGGACCGGATGGTTTGTACTCTTTTTCTTTCGAGCACGTGGAAGCATTGCTCGATCCCGCGTGACTTGATGGAAAGAGCGATCCGCCGACGTTTTCGAGCTCTTGAGTGTTGGTGGTCAAATGGCGCGCTTTTGGGACCACCGATAGGAGCTTGATTGCTGCTCCTGGAGTCGCACCTCTCTTTGTGAGTCTCGGTCCTTTAGCTCAAGGTTCGCTGGTATTGGCCCCGGCCTGAATGAGTCTCAAGTAGATCTCTTCGTTCGTTCTGTTGACGTGTTTTTGTCTTTGTCAGGCGTGACCCGTCGTATGTATGGTCACTGTCTCTGCTACACACAAAGCGTGCGCCTAGTTTTGAGCTGATACTTTCGTAAGGGATTGCGCGGGTATGTGACGCGAACCAACTCATGCCGATACGTATAAAATCAGGAGTGACGCGATGTATTGGAAACGGAGTCGCAGCGCACTAGCAGCTCTGACCTAGAGCTGCTAGTGCGCGTGTGGCGTTTACGTTTTGTCGGGGAGCTACAAATATCTACCTACGCGTGATGCACGTAACGGTGCAAATACATCCACCGGTCTGATCGATCCCCGATCGTCTAGACCGTAAGCCCACTTCGCAGTAGTGATAGCAACTCGACCTTTTCGTCTGCGATGCCCTCGACTCGTCCGTCAGCCATGCAAGTCTAGTGGTGTAGAGTGCATGCTCTAACACGCACTGTCGTATCCGCAGGTTCTCTCTCAAGTCTTGGCCTGCAGCATCTCAAACCATTGCCGGAGCGAATCGGACAAAATCTCCGGCAGCATCGTCGACGTAGGCAGCAACACGTAGTACGGAAATGGGTAGTTCTCCAGATACGGTACCATCCGCACCTTCCCCTTGACAAACGTGACGCTTTGCGTGTCCAGAATGGACGTCTGTTGCTGACTGCTCACACCCTCGGCTGCGCCTTGGTCCACAACGAGCAGCACAATGAGCTGCTGACGCTCAAGAGCCGTTTCGATCAGTTTGCGGATACGTACGCGACCATCCGAGTCGAAGCGGCCATCCGAGATGAGAAACACGATCTGCGTGAACTCGGCGGCACTGCTGGCAGTCGATGCCGCTTGCTTGGCCATCTCGAGTAGCTGCAAGATCGTGTCCAGCGTGTGCACCATGTTGGTCTTTTTCTGCTGGAAGCCAAAGCGGCTGATGACACGACTACCAGCGTCGTCCGTGAACGGCATGTCGAAAGCGTGCAAAAGCTCGAGCTCGTGTCCGAACTTGGCAATAGCCAACTCGCCCACCTCAAGCTGCGTCATGCCTTTGCACAGCGTGGCAAGCGCCTCCAAAGCCAAGCGACCCGCATGGTTGTCCGCCATAGACTCAGAGTCATCTATCGCTAGCATCACCTGGTACTGACGCTTCGACGGCCGTGTACGTCGCAGCCAGATCTTGTCCTTCCGGAACTGGCTCGCAATGTACGGGATCACTTTGCGCATGTTGATGCGCTTACCCGTACGGTAGTCGCCCTCTAGCTTGGCACGGAGCATAGGCTCCAACACGAGCCGGAGCTGTTCGCACAGGCGCTGCGACGCGCCCGCAGTGAGAGCCGTATACTTGGCCCACAACTCTGCGCCGCGTTCCTGCTCTGACTGCGACGACCAAGTCGCAATGAACGAATCTAGCTCCTCGCGCAGCGCAGCGACCTCATCCGGAGACAGTAGCGTCGTTGTCTGCACTTCTGCATCGTCACCCTCTTCTGGTAAGCTCATGGTGGTCGTCAAGTCCAGCTCTCGTAATTTTGATGGAATGACGTGCTCCAGTTCCTCGTTTGCCAGCTCGTGTGTATCTCCAGTACGTTTTTCTGCTTTTGTCTTGGGGTCTTCTTGTTTCTCACACTCGGTCAGGGCTTCATCACTAGCACCCGAGTCAGGCGCAGGTTCACGCTTTATAGACATAGAATCATCTTCTTGCACCTGCTCGTCGGCTGGCACCGTCATGTTTTCTTCGTCAACATCCATAGCCGATGCTTCATTTTCGGCATTCGGCGCTTCCTCTTCCTTTTCAACATCCTCGCCATCCTCTTCCTCAGCACGAGGTTGGTTCATCACTTGGCTCTCGTCGGTTGCAGCCAGTGCGTGCTCGACGTTCTCCATTTCTTCGTCGTCATCGACAAATTCCGCTGTCGTCATTTCTTTTGCAGCCTTCTCCAGCTCCTCAGAACCGTTAATGACATCGGAATCCTCCTCTTCCGTTCGATCAACCATCTCCACGCGCTTCTTCCAGTGCTCCTGCGCTTCCTGGGGGTTGCGGTACGGGTTCGGTTCACGGCGATTACGGCGTTGCTCACGAGGTCGCTCTCGATTCGGATCACTGTCGACTTGCGACTGCGGCTGATATTCCTGCTTCATGTTCTGGTTGTTGTTGCTGCTCTGCTTCTGTGTACGGCTGCTACTGTTGTCGTCGGTTCTCTGATCTTGCTCCTCCTCCTGAGCATTAGCATCACTCATGTCCTGGTCCTCCGCGTCCATACCATCCGCTTCAAGTTCATCCTGGCCATCCTTTGACTGAGTGCCAGCAACCGTAGAAACTGCCTGCTCTTTTTCAATGCTCTCAGGAGTGTCAATCTGCTGTGCATCATCCTCTTCCTTCTCCTCGCCTTGTTCTGGATCATCTTCAAGACCGCCACCTCCAAGCTGCACCTCATTGTCGAGCTGCACGTCCTCACTTTCCTCCTCGGCATCCTTGTCCTCTTCAGCATCGCCAGCTCCCTCCTCATTCAACTCATCTTCAGCTGTTACGTCATCCACGTCATCCATCTTTCCCATGTCTGTGTCATCCGGATTGTCTCCCTCGACGTCACTATCGTCATCGCCACCATCACCGTCATTATCAAGCTGCATATCTTCCGGTAAATCGTCGACGTGCTCCTCTTCAGGTTTGTCCTCTCCATGGCCATCCTCCCGCTCTGTCGGATCGACATCGTGGTGATCTTCGTAATTGTCCTGAAAATCATCGTTGACCACATCTTCCATCTTCGCGTCTTCGCCATCATCATCGTTGGCATCGACATCATCGTCGTTCGACCGATCCGGCTGCGGCTTCTGCTTGTCCTCTGCTTCCTTGTTCGAGTCCCCCTCATCTTCGTCGTCGCCGTCCTTACCACGCACCTCATCCTCTAGTGCTTCGCCTTCCACCTTTGAGTTTTCCTCAAACTTTTCCTCTTCCTTGTCAATGTCATCGTTATCGTCATCCGAGTCCTCGCCCCACATCTTTTCATCCACCACATTCTCATCGTCTTGGCCAAACTCACCCATTTCACGGTCAAGCTCTTCTCTGTCGTCATCGTTCTCGTCCGCGTCATCCTCTTTCTCGTCGGGCATGTCATGCATCGTGCCGTCAAAGTCATTCTGCATTTCCAAGCCCGTATCGTCAGGTTGCTGATCAGCTGGTGGTTCGGGCTCCTCCTGCTGATCTCCCTGCAAACCCAATAATTGCTCTTCATCCTCAATCTCGTGACTTACATCCTTCTTTCCTTCGCCTTCACCCATGCCAGTTCCTTCTACGTCATCCTGGAACTGCATTTTCCCGGCATTTCCGCCATCCTCGTCACCGTTCTCCTGATTGTCTGTCCGGCAAAATCCGTGCTGAAACAGGTTCCGGAACACTCGCACGAGAACGTACTTCAGCTTCATCACGCTCTTGTGCGCAACTAAATAGTCGACAAGCAGTTGTCGGCTGATACCACGCACATCGACCAGACTCGGCTCAAAGCACTCCAACAGCGTGAGTGATGTCACAAACACTTGCTTCCACTCCCCCGACTGCGTTCTAATCAGCCGGTCATACTGGTCCTGCAGCAGGTCCAATAGCTTAGCAAGATGTGATGCAATGTGCTTTACACGTGATCTCTTCACCGTTGTGGATAGTGTTCCTATCTGATCGCGAAGCGACGGCGTTGCGCTTTCTTCGTCTTCTTTCGCGTGGTGCACGGTAGGTCCTGGGTTGCTCTCTTTCGATAGCTTCGTCAGGTCTTGGATTGACGCCAACACCGTTTCAACAAGCTTGTCGAAATGTTCACTAAACGTCGCCATCGATTGCGCGCTTTCTTCCACAGTTGCATTATCACCTCGTAGCGAGAATGAAATGTTGCTGCTCTCATTTAGTGTCCGCTCAAATTTGCTATTAGTGTGAACGATCGCAGCAAACTCAGCAAGAAACTCATCGAAGCAATTTGGTCTTGTAACTATGACAAACGCTGAAGAAATACTTTGCAGAATAGACCTGATCTCACGAAAATGAGCAGTATTGGAAGCTAGCACCTCTGTTGAGACAGGAAAGGGTTGCGAGTCTCCTGATGACGGCCCGACCCTCGAGATGGCTGGAGACACGCCATACACGCGTTTTGATGATTGAGCAAAGGCTGCGGAAGTGACATCACCATCTGCATCCTGACGAGCGTTCACAAGATATTGGGGAATTGCAGGCACGCCAAGTGACCGGGTCAGCCCGGCACTATTGGCGAGCGACTTCTGCACGACATCGCAACGCTCGGAAATGCGCTGGAACTGCTGACGGACTTCCATTACAACAGACGCACTTGTCGGCGACTGCTGTAGAATCTGTAGTACCGAGATGCTAAGCTCGCACAGGCAGGTACGCAATGCAACGACAGACGCCAGCTGAAACGACTGCCACTTACTCGCGCTCTGAAGGTCCACAGCAGACCTGCTGTTGCCACCAGACATGAGGTAGTTGTTCTTGAATTCCTTCATCAGCTTCAGTGAGTTGAGTCCGTCGACAAGCATTTCGTGACTAAGCGAAGTGGCGTGAAGGATCTGCCGCTGCTGTAGCATCGTATGGAGCATATTCTCCGCGTAGCCACTCATGCGATTAATTTCCGTGGACGACAGATCGTGGGAGAAACTTGTTGATGCGGTGTACCGCAGCGACGCCAGTTGGCCCAGGAACCGGTAATAGTATCCATCAGCTCGCTGCCACAACCATGTCGGCGAGTTCTTCGACAAAGCTTCTTCTGTCAGAGCATTCTGATGCACATCCCCTACCTGTTCACTTTTCGTTTTGCCCCCCTTCTTCTTACCCTTCTGCCTGCCAATGCAAGAAGCAGTTGACAAGTTCTCGAGTTCCGCAGCAGAATCCAATTGATCAATGTGAAGGCAGTTATCCACATCAGGCACATCCAATTCGAACAATTGCCCGATTCGTTGTAACTCAGCGGGCAGCTGCAGTCGGTGGTATACCATACCCTGACTCCTAATCTCGCTCAGGAGGTCAACCAGTGCCTTCTTCTTCGCATTCTTCGGCAGCCCTGTAGCCTTCTGAAGTTTGGACATTCGATAGAAAATAGTTTCACAAAGATCCTCGCACAAGGTGCGCACGTCCTGGCGGTGCTCCACTTGGTCGATGGAAAGTATATGCCTCCGGGTAAATTTCGAGATTTGCTTCGAAAGCACTGGAATTTTTTCTGCGTACAAGCAAGACGTTGGCATCAGAAAGCCACCCTCACTTGGTGCGACATACGGCAAGCTTGCATGAGTCAATCGCAACACACGAGGCCTCTCCAGTTTCTTCTCCATCATCTTGTCCTTAGCTTTCTCCCCCTCTGTAGTCTCTTCGTCAAGAGAGGCTTCATGAGGATCACGTTCCTCATCCAGACCAGTGTCAACCGGTACCACGACACCGTCATCGAGACCCGCGAGCTCAGCTTTCGTTGAATGGATTCCAACAAAACCGCCTTCCTTTGAGATGCCACTGTCCGTTGAAGCATCGATAATAGCTTGCATGGACACAGTCAATACAGCATCATAATCACGCACAAATTTCATCAGCTTGCGATGCGACTTCTCCGCGCTCTCCGCAAGGGAGTAGTAAGTTTGCTCATCCCATCGACAAATCTTGACAAACTCAACTAGCTTGCGCTGGATTGGCGCTTTAAGACCACTTCGATGGCGCTCCAAATACCCCACGTGTTGTCCGTAATAACTACACAAATGGTACAGCATGCTGGCCAACGCGTGTTTCGAAGAGACTACAGAAACGTCGACAGATGACTTTCGAGGCACGGAAGGACTCCACAGCTCCATAAGCAGCTGTGCGCAGAACGAATATACCACCAGTAGACGAGTCTCGTACTGACCGATAGGGCATGAACGGATGTAGGCGTCCAGTGTCTCAAACAGCCCGTTCATAAACTCACGCTGCTTGGTTCGACTTTCTCGAGTGGCGTCACTCAATACCTGGACATCAGCTCTTTCCTGGTTGAGTGGTACAAACAGCCACTTTGTTAGACCGTTAAGGTAAAGCCACTGCAAATTTTGCGGATACTCAATAACACTGTCATCAACCCCACTGGCATCTGATTCAAATGGTGCTGTCAACAGCGAGTACATGTGGATCCACGTCTTCTGTGCCATTAGCCGGTGCTGCTTCTCCTTCACGTACAAAAGGTGAGGCCACGAATAAAGCTCCAGCTTTCGCCATCGCGTTACCAAGACTGATAGAGCACTTAGCTCGTCGCTTATCGAGTACGCCCGCGCCGCATACATTTCCCACTCTTGGGCCTTACGTAGCAGTAGCTCCACGCTAGTAAGGGCTCGAACAAGCGGGGAGCTTATCTCGAAGTTGCGGATACGGTCAGCGATTAGCACAATTTGCTGTAAAATCGCATGATCGGGCCATTGGGCCAAGAGCGTTTGGACTTTCACCATCAAGCGCTGCAACGGTTCTGCAACCAGAACAACCTCCTTGACCAGCGGATCATGATGAAAATCAATCCCTTTTATGTACTCACCGCTTAATGCGTCAAACGATGGTACATCATTCTTTGTCCGAGCAACACTATGACCGAGGCGAGTTTGAACAAGCGAAGCAGCCAAAGCTCCCGAGGATGCCACAGCGCTCTCAACAGCTGTGGAAAGCGTCGCATTCAACGATTTGCGCAGCTTTACCGCTAGCGAAAATGCTTTCGCAAATGCGTCCACAACTTCACTTTCTATAATCTTGATTTCAAAGTTTGCGGCTTCTGCATACAATTTTACATGCGTTTCACACAGTCGCTGCATAACGCTGTCTGTGATGAGCATATCGGGATCTGTATCTACCGATGCAGCCGATGACTCAATATCACCTGCCCCATTGCACGAGCTGAAAAAGGTTTGGAGATCCCGGGTACCGTAGTCTGGAAACTGCTTGCGAAACTCCTTCTCCAGCAGCTCTTCCTCCGTTTCCAAGTCCAATTGGCGCACCTTGTACTTGAATACCTCCTCCTCCTCCTTTCGTTTCTGCTCTTCGCGATCTTTCTGTTCTTGCCACTTCGTTAGAAACAAATTAAACAGGCTCTTGCTACTTTGAAGAGCGGTCTCGATGGCTGTCGAGTCAAGCGCGCGATACGACCGCGAAGTCGCCAAAGTTTCTTGGAAAATAAACTTCATTTTCGAAAGCGCCACGTCGAGCAAAGCCACTTCGACCTTGCGCTTGTTAGATACACCAGGACCGAACAGAAGTGACGTGGCGGGTGTGCCGATAATTTGCAACATCAGCTGAACTCTGCGCCAAGACTGGTCCGCTTTGTTTATGCTCAAACTTGAAGGAAACTGCAAAAGAGTGAGCGCTAACTCCTCTTTCTGCAGGGTTTTCAACGACGCGTTCTTTAAAGTCTCACAAAGCGACCATGCCATCAATGCTACACCTTCCTTCACGCAACAAATAGCGGCTACAACAGGCTCCAAAATATCACGAAAACTCTGGCCAAACTTCATTGACAACTGAGCTAGAAAACTTTCTGATGTTTGTTGGAAGTTCTCCAGTTCGCGTAAAATCTCACGTTTCCGCTGTTGTGATAACTTTGGCGATCGAAGCGTGCTAACCAATGTCAGCATTCTCTCAGCCGGCATGACCGTTGCGTCAAAACGCAGCAAATCACGGAAGAGTCGCCCAAATACAGACGCTGCTACGGGTCGTAATTCGATGTCATTTGGGTCCAGGTCTGGAGCGACACTATAAGGCGGAGTTGGCTGGTAGCGCTGAATGGCATCAGCGGATAGTTCCGAAACTTGACTATGCAATTCCCGCATAAGGCAAGCATCTGCTTCCAAAGAATCTGTCGAAGGCCTCGGTGAAGGATTCAGTCGATGCATCGAAGAGCTTGCAGCATCTTGTAGAGTCAGTGTCGCCAAGCGGCTAAGCAGGTTTTCCCGTTTCACAAGTGGCTTCGTAACGGGATCTACTGGTGAAGAGGGGAGAAGTAACGCGAAGCGCCACAAACCCAGCAGCAACATACTTTCGCCAATTGCACCTGGGGGATGACCAGCGTTTTGCTCTTGGTCTTCCGAAACCATAGACACCACCAACGGCGCTACGAGGACATCAACTAACATCACAAATGTTTCGTCCTCAGAGGTCCGTAAAGCCTTCAACAGTTTTGTTTGAGCGTAAGCAGTCAAAGTTCGAGATCCATTAGTGAGTTGAAGAAGATGAGACTGGATCTCCTTCCACGTACAAGCCTCCTGAAACGTCGATTCGAACGCGAGCACAGTCACCACAAAGAGTTCTTGTACAAATGATTTGCTTGCGTTCAGCATTTGTGTCCCCGGCTGAGGTTGCTTTGTTTCAAAATGGCTCACAATCTTTTCCTGCCGTTTCGCACGCATTCTCGCCTCGCTCGCTGGGCACGTTGACTCTTCTAAATTCACCTCTGCGATATTTTTAAGTGCAACAGCACCTTGGACGGCCTGAAACAAACGTGGATAACCAGCGATAACATGGGTGTGATCAGCAGCGTTCGTACTAACAGAAGAGTAGCCTTTATTAGTCTTGCGCATCTTCTTCCGAGTATCGAAAACGTTGAGAGAGATGAGGTCCACTTGGTTATAGCTGTTGCAGCGCAACGACTTGTGGAATTCAAAAAGTACGCCATTCAAGCGTGATTGAGCGAGGAAGACAAAATACTCGAGCTCGACAGCCTTATCATCGTACGTCTCGTTCGAACCTTCCCAAAAAACATACTTGTGCCCACACCAAACGATGTCTTGGTAGGCGTAGAAGCTGGCAGGACCGCGAAGCCCCAGTCGCATCATTTCCTCAATGACACCTTCCAGTGACTTCAACACGTTAGATATACCCGTGACGATTTCGGTGTATCTCGTTTGAGACATGTCATGCTTGCACAAGCGATACATGTTCAGCACATGCAACAACTTCGCGATACTTTTGAGCTCTTGGCGCGCAAGAGCGTGCTCAATCATCGGGCTCAATTGAAACGTGACCATTTGATCCATTATCGATGCACTCTCTTTTACGTCAAATAACAAGATCGGCGCATCCTTGCCAATACGACGATCCTCTTCTCCGAGGAAATCCACGTGATTGCCAGCATTGTCCTCTATCTCGCTCAAATATAACGTCTTTCTTGATACAAGCTTCGTGACTTCCGACTTTTTGTCGTTTAGTTTCTTCATAAGTATACTAGGCAACTTGAGCAACTCCGCCGAAAGCGCATTCGGTCGCCTTCCAAAAGTCGCATTTACAATCTTCCCTTGTTTCTGCTCCAGGGCTAAGTACGAAAATGCACAAAGCGCATGCAAAACTTCTTTGCGAGAATCGACATCCACGAAAAATAGCGGCAACACATCTAGTTTTCCGCTCTTCATTGCGGCTTCCATTGAGGTGACGCCGCCAAACAGAAGCGTGAGCATGTCCACCTTGTCATCCACACTACCCATAGAAGCGTCAACGGAAAGAGGCGAAAAAAGCGACAAATTATGTTGCATGAACGTGTCGGATAACCGAGTGAGCACGTGTTCGGCTTTCCACAGATCAGCACTGCTCGGAAGCATTGAGTGGCCTCCTTTTTTCCACAGTACGTCTTTTCGAGATCTGCATCCAACAGTCTTCTCGATGGTCTCCTGCATGCGCTGGGACATATCCAGCAAAGCACTCCAGTGCGAGCCCCACGAAAACGCACCAGCTGGATGCTGCCCGATCAGTTTCGCTAGTCGCAGCAGAGACTTCTTGAACCATCGCCAGTGGATGAGAAATCGTGTCCACTCGAGAGTCTTCACTCGTAACTGAATGGAAAACTCATACCGATTTCGAAGAGCAGCCTCAACAGCTTCGAAACACAAAGCATCCGTCACTAGACCCGAACAGTCTCGATTAAGCTCCACGAGGAAAGCGTCAAAAGCACTCAGAAGCGGATACACCAAAAATGTCAGCTTGTTTTCCACGTTTAAACAGTCAGCTTGATACTTGTGCACAGCGTAAGACTGCTGCAACACCGACAGATCGTTCAAATCGCTCTCTAGACGGTCACCCCTCGCACTGCGCTTTTCATTGCCGCTTCTTGACAACCTCGTGCAGAGCAGATCGACTTTCAAATACTCTTCTTGCTCGCAAAATCTCAACCACTCAGTACCACTGAGCAGCTTGAGATGACACTGGCCTATAAGAACAGACTTCCAAACGCTGTCAAGGTCAGTCTTTAGGGATGGGGTGCTTGCGACACGTTTAGCCACTAAAGACTGTAAGTTTGAAAAGGCCGCATGGTTCGCAGAAAGATACGCTGGTATCGGAGGTAAGCCGGCTGACCTGTCTAACAAGCTTGCCAATTGGCGCATTGTTTTGTCATTCATTCTGAAAATGTCAGCGTACATTTCCGTTTTCGTCACCGACTGGAGGAAACGCGTAAGTAATTCAACCAAGCTTTGAGCGTTTGCGTTGCCACTCAAGTCGCAAGCAATCTTTTCCAGTGCAAAAAGGAGGCGATCCGCGTCGATTGACCAGCAAGTGTTTCTGTCACCGCACGTGCTGGTCACTTCTGCAATACGCCGCAGTGCAAAAGGTGCAAGCGCCACGCCCAAAGATGTGTCTGCATTTTGCAACTCAAAGACCGGCGTTGACGGTAGATGGCCAAGAGCCTGTTCTAGTGCCCTCTGCGAGTAGCTCGTTCCCTGGCGCGTAAGCCGCGATGCGATTTCCCTTAGCCAAGGATCCAAGGTATCGACTCCATGAGGGTCCGCTATATCTTCAGAGCCAACAACGCTCGTATCTGAAGTCAGCCAACTCAGCTGTGCATCAAATATGCCACTGTTTTCTGTCCGCTGCAAAGACAGAAGAAGATGTTCGAGGTACACAATGTCTCGCTGTAGCACAAGCCTCTCACTCTGCTCGCACAACACTAGCGTCGAAGGCGTAGCAATCATTGAAAGCGCACGCTGAGCTTGGCATTGCTGTGATGTTTTCAAAGCACCGGAGAATAATTCAAGAAAGTCTCTGCTCATGTCAAGCTGCACAAGCAAACCGTCTCCATAAACACGTTCAAAAGACCCGACGATTGCGTTTAGCGGGTCTGTCCCCCGTGAAAGCTCAGTCGAAGCCAATGAAGACCAGCTTTCTAAATGGCGGCGGTTAATGCGGCCGTGTTTCATGCCTGCTGCATGCTCTCCTAGCTTGTTCATCACAAGCTCATGGGCAGTCTGGAAGGCCTGAGAAAGAGTAAACCCGGGCACTCCACAAGCCAGCGCAATCTTCACAAGATCCAGTCGATGTGTGTCTTCTTCCAAAAGTGCAATTTCAATACATCGGTTACGCATCGCGCGGGAAACCTCACCGTACTGAGGGTCCATGGCCAGAAACATCCGGAAGTTCTTGTGAGGCCTGACAATGCGCAGCTTGCCGTTTATGATGCCGCACTCATTGATGAGCATCTCACCACCAGTTTCCATCAGCGAGTTCAATCGGTCCAGCACAGACGAGCTACAGAAATTGACGTTGTCTAGGAGCACCCAATGACCCCTTTCCATGGCCTGGATAAGCGCACCGTCCACCCATTCAAAACAGCTTGCAATTGAGGCGGATGTACTGAGTCGTACCACATTATCAATGCTTATCACAAGACCAGCAAGCGTTGCTCGCATCTCCTCGTTCCCGGCCTCTTTCGTCAGCATACTTATGATGTTCTTCATCATGTCAACAAGACCCTCATCATATTGTCCCTTCGCCAGCTTTTTCCCCTGAAACTTCTTTCCGTCTTCACTATGACTCCGAGATAATGCACTATCGCTGTGGTACTTCGCCCGTGTGCAGAGCGCCCACCAAGAGCTGCAGAGGCGGCTGAACTTGTTCTGGGTCGCGACCCTTTTCCTCTGAGTTATCCCGCCAGTCGTAGAGGCGAGCATCAATTGCTGAAGAACTTTCTCGTAAACACTTTCAATGTTCTGCTTGATGTCACGCAGCTGTCGGCCAACATCCGCTTGTTCAAAACAGCCTAGCAACTCTGTCGCGTCCGTCCCAGCGCTCATGCCGAGTTCGTGAAGTGTATTCCCACTCAGAGCAGCAAGCAGACGGACCGACGATGTTTTTCCACTCGCGGATGGACCAACAAGAAGAGCTGGCCATGACATATTCACGCAATGCACCAGTGCCTCCATAGGCTTCAGCAAAAAGTTGAATATTGGCGGGGCTACACAATTTACGTGCCCACCTTGTCGCGCGAGCAGTGCACTTCCGATTTCAACAAAATTTGCAGATACACGAAGCGGCACGGCATTCAGATCGGTCGGCCTTACACCAAACAACTCTTCGAATCGGCGAGAAATAAATTCGCGGTCGCGAGCAGAACGCATTCGCTCAACGTAGATAAAGTTTACGTAATAGCTCATCGCCTGTATCTGGCTTTTAAAGCTATCCACAGCTTGTATCTGTTGACTCAGCAGCTCACAGAAGCGAAACACATCGCGTAGATTGAATTCCCACGGTGCGCCAAGGCGTCCATACCTGCAGCTTACCATGGTGTCCTCATGCACCACTCGATTGAAGGCAACCATTCGCTCAACCAGAGTCTTTCCAGTGTACTGGGAATCGCTAAGACCCGAATCCGTATCCACAACTGCGCAATGCAACGCAGGGTACATCGAGCCCGCGATATAGATGAGATCTTGCTCGTGCAATGTCTCGACAAAAACGCGTGTGAATCGGTTCAAAAAGGATTTTGGAAGCCCCTTACGGCCACCGCCCTGTCGAAGCGGATTTTGTGCAGCAAACACTCGAAAAGTGGGCGGGCATTCGAACTCACGATCGAGTTCTGGTATGTAAACGCTACCTCGGTGGTCTAAACAAGAATTCAGACCCTCCAAAACTGACTGCGATGCCAAGTTAAGTTCGTCAAGAAGAACCCAGTCACCGGCTTTCAGGGCGCGTAGAAACACACCATCGCACCACTCAAACAAGCCGCTGGCATTTCCTTTCCCTGCTTCGTCACCATCCTTGCCACCAGCGGCAACGGGTAAATCCGACCCAAACAAATCGGAAATGTCCGTTTGCTCGGACAAGTTTATTCGCACTAAACGATGACCAGAAGCTGCCGCCAATGCGCTAATCAAACTGGTCTTACCGACTCCAGGAGAGCCTTCCAAAATGATAGGGCGGCTAACCTGCATGGCCCGCAACACGCGCTGCAAGTTTGACATTGTCGTGGGAGCTTTCAGAGAAAACGACGATTTCTGTTGCGCGCTATCAGGTCCGCGCGAGATAAAAAAAGGGTGAATGCCAAACCGCTCTTCAGCAACTTTGTCCGCAGCAAAGGAGTTTAACTGATCAATGCTGCATTCGACAGGCAGCGTCGTGGCGTTCAGCGACTCAACCACTTTTTCCTTTACATAGCGATTGTCGTCCGGCACTAGCGCCAACAAGTAGCCATAGGCCTCCTCTTTAGCTTTACGAACTGCGTGCAGTGCTTTATCAGAGCCGAGGCCTAGACCGTCCAGTATGGACAATGCTGCACCCTGGACAAAAGCCGTCCACGCCGTTACCTCCGACGATACGCCAGTTTTGTCTTTTTCCACGACGGATGTGATGAAATTTACCCAACTGAGAATGTCGCGCAAGGTCACAGCTCCGCATCCACATACACCTCCGTTTGCCGTATTGAATGCTTTGACAAAGCTTAAAATAGGGCCACATAGCGAAGCCAAGGCGTCAATAGTCATCGACTGCGTACCTGGAGCTGGCAAAACAACCTCCCGAGATCCGATCAACTTATCGCGAACGATTGTGGTGATATCATCCAGATCGGAAATCGGGGGTACCCAGATCTCGGTGAAACGGTTACGTAGAGCAGGCGACAGCTCGCGCTTACCGAAATCGCCACCGGGGTTCATCGTCGCCATCACACGCCACTTCGAATGAGCTACAATTTCTTCAACCTGATCGCCGCCCTTTTCAGCGAGCAGCAGCGTCCGTGACGGCTCGAGCACACTATTCAGACGCTCCAGCACGGCGTCTTCTGCAAGATTTACCTCGTCAATCAAAATTAAATCACCATTCTTCATGGACTCCACCAGTGGACCGTCAGCCCACTGAAAAATAGACTGATACCGTCGTTTCAGTACGTCAATCTTCTCCACAAGCTCCTTTTGCGTCGTCAATTCACCACTCAGAGCGCTAGCTCGTGCATCCTGATACTTTACAAGCATTGCACTCAGGCTTTCGACCATAGCACCAGCCCGACGTTGTTCGGTTTTCGATTCGTCATTGCACTCGCCACGCATCGTGAAGAAATCTCTTAATGTCGCTTCCAACTCCTGAGCAATCTTTTCTTTTCCTCGCACGGGTCGTAAACAGCCGAGAAAATCTGAAGTCTCGCTGTGCTGGTGACAATTCAGAATCAAGAGCGGCTGAGCGAAAAGAAGCGAAAATAATTGACAAACCGTCGTCTTCCCGCAACCCGTTTCTCCCACCAGGAGGACAGGCTCCTTGTTTTGCAGACAGCGCCCTACAAGCGCAAAGAGCCGCCGTAATGACTTTGTCAGACTGATCTTATCCAAACCTGCTGCATTGCCTGACGAATAAGGCCCATCATTCTTCGATATTCCAGAAGCAGCTTCGTCGATAGCGTGACCCACCATCGCTTGGACACGCTTAAATTGTTCTTCGGTACCCCATACCGTCTCCTGCTCAATTTCACCATTCTCATCCAGTAGGTTGGACTCACGGGGCTTTCCACTGTAGTACAAGACATCCAAGTCGATTTTCACATTGCACTTCTCCTCCAAAACTCGCTTGACGATTTGCTTCTCGCCATCCTTCCGTAACCGCTCGGCCAACAAACAGTACCCTTCCTCGGCTAGAGCCTGCTTTGTTGCTGGTCGACGATCTGCCCACCTAAGTAAATCCCGAGTGGTGATAAATCCTGACTTTCCGGCAAAGACCGATGATTGTTGCCGTACAAGTTGCAGCTGCTGCATTATGTCAATCAAAATCCCACAATACGAAGGAGGCAGTAAACTGCGTTCCTGCAAAATAGTCTGTAGCTCACTGGGGGCAACCTCATCAATCTGAATCTCCAAAAATCGGTTGCGAAATGCGCGTGATAGCACCTTGCGTCCGCCATAGAGCCCTGGTGGATTTTGCGTTGCAAACAGCATAAACTTCGGGTGAGGCTTAACTATTTCCTGCGTCTCTGACACATACAGTTCACGGTTGTCATCCAAGAGTCGATTCAAAGCCTCCAAAACTTCCGAAGGAGCTAGATTTAGCTCATCCAAGATGATCCACCAGCCCTTGCGAATGGCTTCTACTAACACACCCTCCTTGAACGCAAGCTTCCCATCAGAATCCGAGACGTAGCTTCCCAAATACTCCTGGATATCGGTGTGGTCGTGGTTATTAATGCGCACGCATTTTTGCCCGATGCGTGCAGCCAGATATCCAATCAACGACGTCTTACCAGCAGATGTTGGTCCCTGCAGCAGCACAGGATAATTACCAATCAAAGCTGCCCTTGATATGTGACGCAGGTTTTCTTCCACAGACTTCGTAAGCACGAACCTCCGTCGGGAGGTCACGGGATCCGGCAACGAATCGTCTTTTGGAAGTTGAAAATAGCCTTTGCGAAGCCAGTAAGAGCTCACTAGAACAAAGTCAGCAGTCTTTTTTGAGCCTCCAGGACACGGCGGGGAACGCGTCAAATCCTTCGACTTCATCGTTTTCGCAAAAGTATTTTTTATGAGTTTCTCAAGATACTGGCGCGAAACCGATTCGAGCTGAGTACAAAAGCTCGAACAAAACCCTTCAAACATTGCTCGGGGTGTGCCGTAGCCTCGCTGAATTAGAATACGTGTGATACGCATCGCCTGGCTCAGCGTGCGAAGCGAGTAGCGAGGTTTGTGACGCGCACCATCGCTCAATCGTAAATCAGCTTGCTTTCTTGCTTCAAGATAAAACTCAACCGTTTGGGGTACTAACGTGCCCGCAATCTCCCTAAACTGATCAGAAACCACCATCTGCAAGTCCAAGCGGTCGACGCACTCGTCAATATAGATCTCTGTAAAACGGTTGCGAAGGGAAGGCGGGAGGTCCTTCTTACCGACGTCCGTGGACGGGTTCATCGCACCAAAGATACGAAAGTTAGGGTGCGGGCGAATCACTTCGACATCGCCACGCTCTGTGATGGAAAATGCACTTGTTTCGTGCTCCAGCAACGTACCAATTCGCTCCAGTGTATCAGACGATGCAAGATTAATTTCATCAAGCAGTACCCAATGACCCTTACGCAATGCTTTCACTAGAGCACCCTCCACAAATGAGAAGGCGAAGTGCGATTCGGCTTGCTCTTTCTGCCTGTCAAACCGCACCAATTCAGCCTCGAATGCGTCCCATCGATTCGCCAAATTACTCGTCGTCTTCCCAAACGTCGATGTTTTGTTGCTAGCGGTGCCCGCCCATGCCTCCCGATCTGCTTTGTAGTCGTCACGCTGAAGTTGGGAAGCAGCCATCTGGATGGCTTTTCGCATACCCTTTACTAACTTCTTCCATTCCTTACGCTCTAGCGCAATCCGGACTACATTCAAAAAGCCTGCATTGCTTTTTTCAGAAAACGTAGCCGTGAACAGATCTACGAATGCCATGTACAATGGGCGAGCGAGCAGATGAATTTCCACCGGCTGAAAACCTCCCACGAGATCGGAACTGTCACTTTGGATGTTCAAGTTTTGTACCACCAGGTGCTGTCCCATTGCTGCGGCCAAGTGCTGAATGACTGTGGTTTTACCACAACCAGTCTCCCCGATAAGCAGTGCTGGCTCGCAAGTAGCGACAGTGACTGCCATCTTCTCCAACAGACGTAGCACCTGACCAGTCATCACCACAGAACCAGTGGCCGGCTTTTCACCTTGTTTGATCCGTGTTTGTTGTGGCAATGTCGGCAAGCGCACGCGACCAAACTCCACTTCGTGTTGGTTGAATGCAACGTGGGGCTTGTGCTGCTCAAGGTAATGCTCAATCTTGTCAGGCTGCACTTCCCAAATGGCTGCTATCGCACAAGCAGAATGCAGGCGCGTCTTTGGATCCCGGATTCCTGCGCAGAATACATCAAGCGCCTCTACCACAATTTTCATGCGCTCGTCTTCAGTCATATAATCGTGACCGGAGGGTGAGTAATGGCTAGTGGCCCCTGCAGTATATGAGCTGCAGCGATGTATTCGCTTGCACCACTTCAGCAAATCACGTAAGCAAAAATCACGCCCATAATTACGCCGTGTCTCCTTCCACAGGTGTGCCGACCCACCGACCTCTTCGTTCATACTGCCAGATACAGTACTGTAAGTGACCATTACTTTTGATATCACCTGTCGTGGGATCTTTGCAAAACGGGCGAGCAGTATTTGCTCAGTCTCTTTATTTGAAAGAGGTGCAACTTTTACAACCGTCCAAACAGATTCCTGAAAGCCCTTTGGCAGTTGATGTCCATGCGTCGTCGTTCCAAATAACTGAAAATTGGGGTGCGCCACTAGCAACTCACCACGACCAGGGAGCACCATTTCGCGCGTTTCGAGGAGCGGCATCAGCGCCGCCAGCACCTCGAACGGTGCCCGATCGATATCCTCGATAACCACCCACCGCCCCGTCAGCACAGCAGTCGTGAGCGCACCAGGTTGCCATGTGAATTCACCTGGAACGTCTGTGCACACATATGATCCAAGCAACGTCTTGCTATCAATTTGATCGTCCAGATGTAGCTCGACTACGTTATCGTTGCCAGACAATCGAGACAGTTCCCGAATCATAGCAGTCTTACCGCTCCCGCCTGGACCTGCAACCAAAATGGGCCGCTTTAGACCGAGTGCAATCGCGATTGACCGCAAGATACGCTTAGTCGACGATGTAGGCACGAGCTCAGTGCACACTGACGTTTTTTCCGACACGACTCGTTGCTGCTCGAGCTTGCTCGTTGGAACGACGACGCCGAAAATGTTCGCCAGGGAGTCGTGAAGCGGCACTAGTTGCGTTAATGCGCTGTCACTTTCGTCTTTCTGCTGACACGTTCTTGCTTTGATCAGCTGCTCTTGCCGTGTGGCGTCTTCACTGTAGAGCTCAATTTCAATTTCTCGAACGGTCGGGCAGCTACCACTCACTGCAGCTTCTTCGCCGACATTCAACGCACTAAAAAAAGCAGTTCTCTGTGTACTGTCCAGCTTCAAAATTGATGCCGTTGCACGCGCGGCGTACCATCGGATGTACGTGTCGTCGTGGAAGCAGAGCGGAAAAAACGGCGTCCAATTCCAAAGCGGCACGAGCTCTCTGGGTCTCGGCCGTAGCAGTTCAAAAGCCGTCTTGGCAATCCGTCGTAGCCTCGTCAGCGTCTCGTGGCACGACTGCTTTAGCGCGGCGTCCGTGTCTGCAAACGCAAAGAAACACGGCGCTGCCTCAAAGTACTGTTGCACCAACGTACTTCCCGCCGGCAAAACAATCAGCAGCTCGGCTAACGTTGCCGCGACCGTCTCCACCCTCTTCATCGTGTCACAGCACTCGCTGTACGTACGCTGCTCAAGCTGTTCGTACAGCACGAGCCCCGGGTCGATGAACCGCACGACCAAGTCCAGCAAAAACGGCCGCAGGTGCATCACAATGAGCGCGCGCAGCTCAGCGTGAGCGAGGCACGAAGCCAAAGCCTGAATCTCTAAGCGCCCTTCGTGCTCTCCGCCTACAGGTGGCCTTGTCGCCAGCAATTGGAGAGCTGGATGGGTTTTGAGTGCATCAACGGGGGACGCAGCAAGCATCCGCTGCAGCCCAGAGCGCAGACGGCTCACACTGATCGTGTAGTTGTCGCTGTCGCGTGACGCATTGACGCTGATGTCGCGTTGTGCGATTTGATCGTCCGCGCCAGTCATTCCGTCGGCCTTCACGCAGTGAGAGAGATACTAAGTGCCTCTGATCTCGGTCCTTTGCCGGTGTCGACCAATGCGAATATGTGTGCGGACCAACCAAAAGGTCCGGAAGAGTGGACCACAAAAGCATCTGGTCAAAAGAGCTGGTAGTCATTTTTGCAATTCGATAAACCGCTTTTACTTTACCGCTGCTAAAACTGCTTGTTTCGTTGAAAAACGGATTGTGCCAAATAGAAATGCAGCACACAGTAGATCCACCGCGGGTCTCTCGTATCCGATTATAATGAAACCAGCGCTTTGCATTACAATACCCCAGACTTGTACTAAATATATAAAGACATTTTGGGACACTCATAAATAGTCTGTCGGACGTAGCACGATTTGACGTCACGCGTGTCACCAGGACGGCCTCGATAGCTAATCGGCGATTTATTCGCGCTAGCCGTGAGCGAACTCAATCGGTTTGAGCGATACGCTCGACAATCGTGTCGAACGCTGGCGAGGATAGAGTATTATCGCTGTCTGGGCCAAAATCAAATGTCCAATATATTACACATTTTATCAAGTTTCTGTGCGGCCAAGCAAGTCGCTCAATTATCAATCAAATAAAGATAGGAGGGTGGGTACACTATCAATGGATTGAAAATCTACCACTTTGCAGCGTAATTAGAGCGAAAGCTGGAATGAAACGGGGCACTAGACGCTTGTACGACACAGTTGAAGCTACTTACACCGACAACAGTATATTCGCGTGCCTTAGAACCCACTGTACACGTACGTGCAGACACGTTGAATCGTATTAGCTACGAGATTTAGCAAAGAGAGAAACCTGAAACTGTATTGATCACTTTTTTAGGCCTTCTTAGCATAGTTCCTCTGATCTTACTGTAACTTCATTTATCTACAAACACGAAAAGTGGCTTCTCACTTATCACCCATTGCGCGCGTCCAGCGGCATTCAGTGGATTTGTTGGTACAGTCGTCTCTCCAAATGAGAACTCATAATAAGGGTAAAAATCCTGTATAAGGAACTCCGTGTCCCGCAACAAGCTGCATCGCTTGTTTTTTGTATGGTGACTCTATATAAGAGACTCAAGAAACAGGGTAACAAAATAGCAAACCAACCGCCTGTTCCCCCTCTCAATTGGACTTGCCGCGGTCTTGCATTCCTGCCATATTGCATATTTGCTTCCATTCCACGTCAGACATGTCGAAAAAGCAAACGATTATCACGATGGAGCAAAAGCGTCAGGTGCAGGTGCACATCCCACGCACACCAGGCATATAGTTGGCTCAGTTTTAAGACTGGATCAGAGAGAGGCTCGGCCTTTTGATATCCACAACGGCATCAGAACTGATTTGACAGGCACCAGACAACGCGTTTCTTGCCACGGTCAGGAAGCGCAATCGGCAAGTTCTGTTTCTATCGCTTAAAGCTAACTTCCTCGCATACTATCGTCTCAATGACGGAAAAGCAATTCTCACAGACGAGCTACTCCTATAAGAAGGTCACTCAATACGAGCTGCTCAAGGGCTAAGCGAGAACCACCTGCGACTTTCGAAAGGATGGCTGCACATACTAAAGAATCGACACGGCATCAAGCAGCACGTGCTTCACGGCAAGTCAGACTCAATTGATCGCGCTCAACTGGCAGTGAATCGAATGGAACTTAAAGAGCTGATTGGTCAATATTCATCACGGGGCGTATTCAACTTTGACGAAATAGGTCTCTTACATCGCCTACCTCCAAACAAGACACTTGCAACGGTCAAGCGCAACGGAAAGAAGTCATAAAAGGATCGTATCACAGTCGCAATGTGCTGCAACATGACCGGCACCGAGAAGATGGATCTCGTTGTCATAGGCAAGTCGAAGCAACCTCGAGCATACCGCAAAACAAACACCAAGCAAATGAAGTTTGTGAACTTTAACAACCGAACTGCGTGGCAAAACAGGTCAACGTTTGCTAAGTGGCCCCGGCATTTCGATGTCAAGATGCGCGGGAGGCGAGTGCTTCTCCTGATGGATAACGCGTCGGGTCACTCTGTCGCCCCTGAATGCTACAATGTCAAGCTGGCATTACTGCCGCCCAACATGACAGCACATTTGCAACCACTCGACGCAGGTAAGTATGGATGGTCTCTTGACCAAAAGTTTCTCACGTGTTTTTTCTTATAGGATTTATTCGGTCATTTATAGCGCGGTAAAAAGAGATTTGTTCAATGGCACCCGGATGCAATCCACACCAGAATCGACAGAAAGTTAGACATCCTGGAGGCTGTGTGCTTCGCTATATCGATGTGGGAGGAGGTTCCCGAGCAAGTAGTTCGTAATTGCTGGAGAAAGTGTGATATCGTGGAGGCGGTGACGATACCCGATCTTACCCAACGAAGCGACTACAACAAATGCATTGACCGATCTGTTGAGGACCAGCTGACCAAGCTAATGGAGGGTTTGACTTGCGGCGTCGGTTTTGACAATATCGTCGGCGCGGATGACGATGAGACGATCGAGTGCGAATCAGACACGATAGAGTTTGAGGCGGTTAAGGACGACAGTGATGGTGGCAGTGCCGATGAGGTGACGATTAGGTCATCCGAGGATCAAGAATGCTGTCTCCGTCTGTCATTCTTTCTTTTATTACAGCACGACAGTGACTAATTGACCAAGAAGCTGGAAAGTATCACCGAGTACGTTGGAAAGACGTTCTGGATAGGAAAGGCTCAGTGTACCATGGATGCATTTGTTATAAAGGTTCCATATTGACCGTCCACATAAAAAGGTTTTATACAAATAACGAGTCAGACACGTTTCACATTTTGGTCCGCTAAGTAAAGATTGAATGTAGATGTAATATTGGCTCATAATACCAATGATTGTATCAGCCCCACATAGCACCTTCGACGCTAGTAGTCCTTACATATCCACGTAGCAAGGTAAATATTGTAGACTATTACCAAGTTCTATATTCTCCCCAATAGCCCAATTTGGTGTCAGCAACACACAACAGGATCAACCCACCACAAGAAATAAGAAGCACCAGAGTATGTAACGACCTGTGCAAGATATGTAACTGTACACGAGTCACGAAGAATGACATGTGGTGCGCTACGTGTAGTGCGTCAGCAAGTCAGAAAAACGTCATTTACCGGAAGGAGCTGCCACTCCGCTGTCACACGATTCTATGCATATCACCTGCCAGTCTTGTGTTGCATGAACCATATGGGATTATGCTGCGTTATTGATTATATAGAAGCCCGCAGTCTTAAGCATGCCGAATTGCTGCTGCACAATATATTGATGTCGTTTGTAATGTGTATACGGTGGAGGGCCTATATTATATGATCATTAGGCGAAAGACATAGCGGCAGGACTTACGTTCATGTGACGATCCTAGAAAAGGAGTGAAGCCGACATCTGCATCCAATTTTGTAGCCAGAAGCTGCTACATCCCTTTCACTTATGGTCTTTTCAGAGACAATCCGCAAATTGTAATAGGTATTATGTTTGCGTTATCCGGGTGATGGATGATGCCTCTTCTATCGATACAGACCAAGCATAGAGACTGTTGTATGTCATCTTGTGAAATATCAGAAGATCTTAGCCGTTTTCAATCTAGAGATCTGATGTATCTGTAAATTATTAGCGGAAAACACGGATGTCATGTAATACTGACATGATTTTGAATTGCGGAGGAGCGTTCAAATCGGCTGACACTATTTGTGTTTAAACGAGAATTAATTATGTTGTTTATAAACTGCGCTCTTCTGGTACACACCCAAAACCATTGAGGCCTCCTACTGTCTGCAGGGCACCTGAAGGTGTACTAACAGCAGCGGACTGGAAGACGCAAGCTTATTACCAGCATAATGCGAATGTAATAACACAACCTGAAGTCAAGTAGACAGTTTCAACTTTAACATTTGGCTCATCTTCAAGTCAAGCAGGCAGAGATAGTCAAAACAGTACTTGCCTGTACTCGCTTATTGGTGATAAATTATCAACATCTGGAGATAAATACGCGGTATTTGATGATTCTTTTCTCGCTGAAATTGTAGTCAAGCTCACGGTGCCGTTATCGTGAATCGTAAATTTGCAAAGTTTCTAGTCTCGAACTGAACTGCATTTTACCGCGAAATTCTGTTGCAAGTGGATTCAAACATGATTAGCAACGTATAATAGTGTTTCAGTTTGTCGTTCTCGTGTGTTTTATTAAGTAGTAGTCATATATGCCGAAGCGGTATCAGATGTCTTTCGTTTTCTGCCTGGAGCTGTCGCGATACATACCCTTCGCCAAAGATCGTAGGTGCAGGCTTATTTACAAGTGTAGTGTGATGCCTATCACGTACTGCGAAGTCATCATAATATATCTATGAACGCCTCTTCTTGTCTGGATAGCTCTGTATCATGAGATTAGCTAGAGCTGGAGTAGCTCGCAGAAAATCCTTAATGAATGCGTCAGTTTGAGAATATTGTGCCAAAACCGCGTAATTTGTATTTCGCAACTCGGTACCCTTTCAGCTTGTAGGTTAGCCCGGTACAGTCGTTAAGCTTTTGTTGGGACGACCATCCACCATTCTCTTCAGCTTAGGTTTGGACATCCCTCGATGATTGTCTTGCTACATTCGGTGCGTGCTAACAGTTCGTAATCGATCGTACAGCGCGACGGGCGTATCATTACTCGAAATCTACATGCCATACATACCCGGCTTATTACCTTACACAAACATTGTCCCCCCAGCGGATTATTATACTTTTTCGGAGTTGTTATACTTCGATAGACTAGACATGCCGAGAGATCGGATGTTGTACCAGTTTTTGGATGTCACTATCGAGGAGAAAGTTTCATCCGTTGTTTCATTACCTTGCTTGATCTCAGATCGCACCGCCGGTCGATGGATAGAAAGGCCGGTTCCTATCACGGAACCGGGGTTGTCAACATCTCGCTTAAATGAAAAGGTATATAACCCTTTTCTTGGTCAATGAGTACCAACAGAGTATT